TCAGACTGAACGTCAACTGTTGCAACTCATCCGCAGAGAACTTGTTGTCGTCCCAGAGAATGAAGTAATGAGTCGGACGACTGGTTCCCTGAATGCCTTCGTGAGAGCACAGGAAGTAATCGAAGTGCGTCTTCGACACCACATCCGTGTCCACCACTAGACCCGGCGGAACGTTCTTCGCTCGGCCCACGCCTTCCGCTGGATTCTGTGGGAAGAATCTAAAGACACAAACAAATGGTTAATATCTAAAAGCATATATGAAAGGAATACCTCGTGTGGTGTCTCTTCTGAACCACAATATACGTCATCTTAGGCTCATAGCCAGGCTTTTCCATCGCAAACGTTTGGATCAAACCCTTGATCTCCTGTTGAAGAGCGGCGTTGAACTGGCCTTCGCTGACGCCATCCCTATACACAATGATCTGTTCGGGAAGATTGCCATTGTTTCTGTTGGCGTACTCCCGAAGCAGGTCTAACATCATCTCCTGGAGCTCACTAGTGATCTCTTGGACGCGCTTCTGGAGACGAGTCGACGCGAAGTACTTCACGTACGAGTCGTCAATCGATGCCACACATGCAGACACAGAGCGAGACATCCTATCGCCCACTCCTGGATGACTGCAATCGACGCCAACAATCATTGTGCGCTTCTTCAGCACTTCGATGTCAGTGAGAATGGCGTTAACTCCGCCCAACTTTGTGTTCACTTTCAACATCACATTTTGCATCAGTGGTGGTCTAAGAGACAATGGATTAATAAGTGGTCACACGATAGCAATGGTATACTTACTTCAAATTGCTGAGATTGGCCTCTTTGATGCATTGGGTGACAATCCCGAAGTCCACGTCTCCGACCTTTTTGATTGATTCATACAAATACTGATACTTCGGAGTTATCACAAAGAAAATGAGCTGAAGTCGACCACTGGTCACTTCTAACGCCTTTTCAAACACTTTGTGGATAGAGTCGGGTCCGTAGCTCTTGAGCGACACCCGTTTGGTGGCGTTCATGATTCTCATTCCCAATTTAGTGCCCGACTCTTTGACACAGCGCTCCAACTGTTCCATCCTTCCCTCCATGTTTGGGGTCAACGCTATGATTATCCAGTGCTCGAGAGCTCTCGGTTCGAAGAACTGCTGATTCCTGACATCCCATTTGCCGTCAAACGGATTGAGAGTACGTTTGTTGCCATACATGAGGAGCGGCGCCGACAGGATTCGGGCGTCAATACTGAGCGGAGTATTTCCGGCCGGAAAAGCGATTCCAAACTCTTTCATATATGACTTCGAGTCATGAATAGTACTCTTCGCGGAGTCGCGAATGAATTGAAGCCGATTTGCGGGCGTCTGTGAGGCCGACGAGCGAATCATTTCCACCATTTGATCGTTTGTGAGATTCTTGGAGACGTGTTGGTCGGGAACCAACTCACAGACATCGAGCGGCAGGAAATTGGGATTCTTAATGTTGCCGACGATGATGCACGGCATGGCCGCGAACTTGAGCGGACACTTGTCCGGGTAGTGCTTCTCATAGAACTCCACGACTGACATCATTCCCATATTAGTCTCCTTTCCTGTCATTCAAATGACAATCAACTCAAATGAGTACAGTTTACGCAAACAGACAATTGGTTTCCATACCTCTGGGATCAGTCTTCTTGTATTCAAACTTCACTTCAGTGGCCGACTCTTTGGTCAAACCAATCACTTTGTATTTGCGTTTATAAGTCAAGTGATTGACTTGAATCTGAATGCCTTTCAACTCCTTTTCGATACGCTTTCTGTCGGAATCCCTAAAGCCTTTCAAAGCCATGAAAGCCTCGCGAGTGAGGCCCAGAATCTTACAAATAAATTTGGCCAAAACTCCCGACTCGTACAGAGCGGTGGCCGTCCTGTCGATCACAAGACTTACGCCACTTTACGGTGTAATAAGAATAGGGATTAGTATTCACATCAAAAGGCTATTGAAATCAATACTCACTTGGATTCGGGTCTCATTGACTGGAAGTATCCGTAGGCCAACTGACGGCCGCCGCCGATGTCTTTGCGTTTGCCGGCGGACTCGTTGTACGGCGCGTACAATGAGTTGCCGATCGGGATATTCAAAATAGACGGCCCGTGTCTTAGGATAATGTTCAGCACTTGAATGGCGTCCGACGGCATCACATTCGTCTGTTTGTCGAAATACTTCTTCAGGCCATTCATGTCAATGACTGACGCGTTCTTAATGTTGAGGGCGTAGATCACTTGCCGGCCGTCTTCGTTCACCTCGACCTGAATCCTGGCCACGACTTTGTCGGCTTCGGCGCCATTAATGCCACGGAAAGTGAATTTCTCTAAATCCAGTTCTTTTCGCGAATACATATTCTTCTGGCCGTCAAACACGGGAAGGACGCCATCGAACAGCTCTCCCGGACCTGAGTATCGTTTGATGGCCTCTTCGATGACCACGCGATAGATCTTTGAGTTGAGTTTCTTGAGCCTCCGTTTGGCGCTCTTGTCGTCCGTCTCTACCGAGTCGTCGGCGAAAGTCATTGACGCCAAGTCCTGATTGAGTCGCATCGGCTCCATATCCACGTCATAGTGATATACCATTAGGTCTGACGTGAACTTAATCGGGAAATGATTGGCCACTATCTAACCGAGTCGTCGGCGAAAGTCATTGACGCCAAGTCCTGATTGAGTCGCATCGGCTCCATATCCACGTCATAGTGATATACCATTAGGTCTGACGTGAACTTAATCGGGAAATGATTGGCCACTATCTGATAGTTGCGGCCATTTATGCCACGATTGGGTCGACTCGCGAACAGAGACGACGCCGACGAAGACGTCTCGGAAGAGCGCGTCGACGACGAGGCCTTCGAGCGCCCCAACGATGCGGACATTCTGTCGCTTCTGGTCTTCGCTTCAAACAAGGGATCAAATGAAAGGCTTGACTGCACTGTCAGAGCGATGTCTACAACAAGGAGTGTGTCTTCAAAATGGATGCCTTAGTGTTGAAAGTGTTTGACTTTTCACTTCTGGCTTCACTTCTCTCTCCTCTAATCGTTTGCCAATCGTTTGGCGAAAGCAATGGTTTTGATTGGCTGTCGAGACCTAACTATAGGCCTATATATTGGCGCCTAAACTCGTGTCTCCCATATATGGGCAGAGGTTTGGCATCACGTGATCTGATTGGCGCTCATCTCATGTACTGAAGGATTGAATCATTTTTTAATCGCTTTTTATTCCCAAAAGTCGTTTGAAATGCCATTTCATGTCATGTGTTAACACATGTCTTAATACTGTACATGACATGTGTTTTGCATTGCATTTCATTAATCCCTATACCTATTGATAGCCAAACATCTCTTAAGCCATACATTAATCCAAGAATACAGACAATTATAGTCACATCCGAAAGGATTTGCACTCAAAATATAAGACAATAATCACATGAAAGACAAGACAAAAAATGATTGCATTTATTGTTTTTGTTTAACAAATGATTTGAACAATTGATTTGACAATTAAATGATTGGCTTTGGATTTGATTGCGATTTACATGTGTTTAGCGTTTCTGTTGACGATATGATAGATATCTGTGACAATGGTTTGCGAGTTATTGTCATATATGACAGCATTGTTGCCATTAGAGAGCCTAACCATCGGTGCCATCGGTAACGAGTGGCCGATCCGTTGGCCACCAATCGGGCCGTTGTTTGTATCGTTTCTGACCATCACATCCACGCTATTGTTGTCCTCTTCGTTGTCATCATCGCTGCCATCGCTGAAGTCGCTGTCGATCTGTTCCAACTCCTGAGCCACCAATTGGTTGTGTTTGTCGTTGTGATCGATGGGAACGGGAGGTGTCTTGAAACGGGTCCTGAGGTTGAGCGTCGAGTTGTTGTTTCTGTCGTTGATATGACTGTTCCAACGGTAATAACTCTGCGGACCACCTCTTGAGCCATAGGTCGTGGTCTCCGAATTCTTTCTTTGCATAAACTTTTCTAATTCACTGTTAAGTGAAGACATTATAAGACCTTTTGGCTGAGCTTTTGGCTCATCGATGGGTTGGTGGCCAATGAGTGCGGGTTTGGTGTCAATGGTCTCCACTTTCTTCAATTGGGTTCCGCTTCGGATGTCTTTCAACAGGTTTTGTCGCGAATCTGTGGATGAAATGTGTTTGATGTCTGAAGTGATGTCATTATCTGATTTGTAATTAATGAGTAGCGGAGGCTGTGGTGGGGGTGGAGGAGGAGGTGGTGGCGGCGGCGGTGCAGTGCCTTTGCGGTGCATTTGACCGCTTTGGCGATCAGTGGACGGCCTCTTCGGTGGATTAGCTTTTAGTCTAGAGAGTGGAGTTTGGCCTAAAGATAATGAGACAATCGGTTAGACAAAGGCATCGAAAGCTATCATAAGTTTGTATTGCCTTTAAATATATGGTCGTAAGTATGGCTTATATTATGGGTAATCGTATTATCATTAAGTTTGGGACCACTTATGGTATTAACGATTGGTTTTGAATCCATATCTATTTTTTCTTGACTCGAAATCGGATCGATTTTCTGAATAATTCACAATTAAAGCCATATTTAGACGACTTATTATCAGATCTAAGTTACTAATGGTATGGCAATCGATGTCTTAACTCACATTGTTTTTGCCGCCACAACAACAGCAACAGAAAAGTGAGACAATCATTAGAAAGCCTCCGAATATGATTAAACCAAATGCTATCATCTCTTCATATTTGGTCGGATAAACGAATACGAATTTAATGGTGTCTTTGGAATCGTCCTCCACTTCAGACAACTCTTCGAACCATACAATCGGAATAATGGCTTCTTTCAGGGTTTTGCCCACATTTCTAGCAATTGGTTCAATAAATAATTAATCTTTTAATTTAACGAAATGTATTGAATTAAGGAAATACTGACTGATTTAATGGGCATTTCTTGCTGTGAACGTTGTATTGATACCGACGGGCCTTATATGTGACCAAACCTGAGAGCTTTATAGGAAAAAGTTGTTAATAAAATATTCAATCAAATGATCAATTAATGAATTACTGGCTCCACTTCGACGAACGTTTGGTGCAATTGCTCTTCAGGCGAGAGTCCGGTCACACTTTTGGCCAACACATCCGACGCCCGCCTGAAGTGAGGGTTTGATAGAATAAGAGGAGCGCCGGTACACGAAGACAGGTCTAAAATGCCGATGAAATTACACTTCTCTGGCGTTTTAGGCGAAAGACAATAACAGGTGTTGTCTTTATTGAATTTGGGACCAAAGAATGCATTGTCGACGGGACTGAATCGATACACAGGAAGGCTATCGATTTCGTACTTATTTTCATAACTCATTTCAATTGAACTGAATAACAATTTTACTAAATTAGTTACATTTTAATGCATTCATATTATTTAAAATACCGGCAAATATCAGTTGAATACTCAAATAGTCTGTCATTCTTAGCAATTAGTGGTGAATATTGATAGCCGTTTGTGCCGTTAATGACATTACAGGAGCGACCCGTCCAAGCGTTTACACTCCTATATGTTAGCAAATAATTGGTTTAAAACAAATTAAATTTCTATTAATTTAACTAACGATTTGTCATTCCATTTAAGTATCTTAGAGTAGAGACCGGTCTTAAGTCCCGTTAAAACTTCAAACTTATTCTCCGTATTGTTTGGAAAGAGAGCGAAATCTGTGGCCAAAAGTTTGGGAACCGAAACACCACTTCTGGATAGAGTTGGGAAGTATTGAGAAATGATTTGGATTTGAGAATTATTATTGAATCCAAAGAGTATCTCTCGAACGGATTTCGAGACAAACACATTGTTTCTAAACGTATCGTAGATTGAATTCAATACTGAATTATTACTTCTCGACACTGTATTAGAGCTCTGAGACAATTCGGTTAGCATTGGGTTCAATACCTATTTATTTGGTTTAAATTAAATTAATACTATTTTAAATAATTTAAAAATTAATTTACCATAAATTGGACATTAATAACAGTAATGTTGTCATCCAGACCTCCAGCAGACATTACTTCATCAAACATATAGACTTTTCTCTCCACATATGAAACTAATGTCTTATCCATTGAGAATTGAATGTTTTCTTTAATCTTTTTAACTCTGATTTGTGTGAAATATATAATTCACTAATTGATTGATTTGCAGTGAATCGTAAATGTAATTATTATTAATACCTGAATACAAAAGGACCGACTTCTTTGACTTTAGGCTTAATACCATTGAGAATATCGCTCGGATTTTCCACTTCAAACACATAGAATTTGGCCGATTCTGTCATTTTATTCTTAAGCCATTCATCGTATAGAGCGCTGTCTTTACTGATAATCATTTCGGATTTAATCCGATTACTCATAATATCATCGAAATCCATGTGAACATAAAGACTGACCCCTATTATCGCTAAACTAATAACGAGTAAAATTATAGCAAAACAACAACTCAATACTCGACACATATTTGATGTTTTCAATTGTTAACGAAAGAATAATTTTCAAGAATAAACTTATAAAACCAATGTTAAGGTCTGTAATAAATAGATTGAATACAACTTTTAAGGAGTTGGAACAGATCGACAGCGACTTCAGCGATGGCAGCGATGATGACAACGAAGAGGACAACAATAGCGTGGATGTGATGGTCAGAAACGATACAAACAACGGCCCGATTGGTGGCCAACGGATTGGCCACTCGTTACCGATGGCACCGATGGTTAGGCTCTCGAATGGCAACAATGCTGTCATATATGACAATAACTCGCAAACCATTGTCACAGATATCTATCATATCGTCAACAGAAACGCTAAACACATGTAAATCGCAATCAAATCCAAAGCCAATCATTTTATTGTCAAATCAATTGTTCAAATCATTTGTTAAACAAAAACAATAAATGCAATCATTTTTTGTCTTGTCTTTCATGTGATTATTGTCTTATATTTTAAGTGCAAATCCTTTCGGATGTGACTATAATTGTCTGTATTATTGGATTAATGTATGGCTTAAGAGGTGTTTGGCTATCAATAGGGATAGGGATTAATGAAATGCAATGCAAAACACATGTATTAAGACATGTGTTAACACATGACATGAAATGGCATTTCAAACGACTTTTGGGAATAAAAAGTGATTAAAAAATGATTCAATCCTTCAATACATGAGATGAGCGCCAATCACATCACGTGATGGCAAACCTCTGCCCATATATGGGAGACACGAGTTTAGGCGCCAATATATAGGCCTATAGTTAGGTCTCGACAGCCAATCAAAACCATTGCTTTCGCCAAACGATTGGCAAACGATTAGTGGAGAGAGAAGTGAAGCCAGAAGTGAAAAGTCAAACCACTTTCTACACTAAGGCATCCATTTTGAAGACACACTCCTTGTCGTCGACACCGCACTGACAGCGCATCAAAACCTTTCATTTGATCCCCAGTTGTGAGCGAAGACTACACGTGAAAGAATGTCCGCATCGTTGGGGCGCTCGAAGGCCTCGTCGTCGACGCGCTCTTCGGAGACGTCTTCTTCGGCGTCGTCTCTGTTCGCGAGTCGACCCAATCGTGGCATAAATGGCCGCAACTATCAGATAGTGGCCAATCATTTCCCGATTAAGTTCACGTCAGACCTAATGGTATATCACTATGACGTGGATATGGAGCCGATNAGATAGTGGCCAATCATTTCCCGATTAAGTTCACGTCAGACCTAATGGTATATCACTATGACGTGGATATGGAGCCGATGCGACTCAATCAGGACTTGGCGTCAATGACTTTCGCCGACGACTCGGTCGAGACGGACGACAAGAGCGCCAAACGGAGGCTCAAGAAACTGAACTCAAAGATCTATCGCGTGGTCATCGAAGAGGCCATCAAACGATACTCAGGTCCGGGAGAGCTGTTCGATGGCGTCCTTCCCGTGTTTGACGGCCAGAAGAACATGTATTCGCGAAAAGAGTTGGATTTAGAGAAATTCACTTTCCGTGGCATTAATGGCGCCGAAGCCGACAAAGTCGTGGCCAGGATTCAGGTCGAGGTCAACGAAGACGGCCGGCAAGTGATATACGCCCTCAACATTAAGAACGCGTCAGTCATTGACATGAATGGCCTGAAGAAGTATTTCGACAAACAGACGAATGTCATGCCTTCGGACGCCATTCAAGTGTTGAACATTATCCTAAGACACGGGCCGTCCATTTTGAATATCCCGATCGGCAACTCATTGTACGCGCCGTACAACGAGTCCGCCGGCAAACGCAAAGATATCGGCGGCGGCCGTCAGTTGGCCTACGGATACTTCCAGTCAATGAGACCCGAATCCAAGTGAGTATAGGTTTTAATAGACTTGTGATATGAATCCCTATACTAATCCCTATTCTTATTGTTCCGTAAAGTGGCGTAAGTCTTGTGATTGACAGGACGGCCACAGCTCTGTACGAGTCGGGAGTTTTGGCCAAATTTATTTGCAAGATTCTGGGCCTCACTCGCGAGCAGTTCATGGCTTTGAAAGGCTTTAGGGATTCCGACCGAAAGCGCATCGAAAAGGAGTTGAAAGGCATTCAAATTCAAGTCAATCACTTGACTTACAAACGCAAATACAAAGTGATTGGTTTGACCAAAGAGTCGGCCACTGAAGTGAAGTTTGAATACAAGAAGACTGATCCCAGAGGTATGGCAATCATTTGTCTATAATCTGTTCTCATTTGAGTTGTCATTTGAATGACAGGAAAGGAGACTAATATGGGAATGATGTCAGTCGTGGAGTTCTATGAGAAGCACTACCCGGACAAGTGTCCGCTCAAGTTCGCGGCCATGCCGTGCATTATTGTCGGCAACATTAAGAATCCCAATTTCCTGCCGCTCGATGTCTGTGAGTTGGTTCCCGACCAACACGTCTCCAAGAATCTCACAAACGATCAAATGGTGGAAATGATTCGCTCGTCGGCCTCACAGACGCCCGCAAATCGGCTTCAATTCATTCGAGACTCAGCGAAGAGTACTATTCATGACTCGAAGTCTTATATGAAAGAGTTTGGGATCGCTTTTCCGGCCGGAAATACTCCGCTCAGTATTGACGCCCGAATCCTGTCGGCGCCGCTTCTCATGTATGGCAACAAACGTACTCTCAATCCATTTGATGGCAAATGGGATGTCAGGAATCAGCAGTTCTTTGAGCCGAGAGCTCTCGAGCATTGGATTATCATAGCGTTGACCCCAAACATGGAGGGACGGATGGAACAGTTGGAGCGCTGTGTCAAAGAGTCGGGCACTAAGTTGGGAATGAGAATCATGAACGCCACCAAACGGGTGTCGCTCAAGAGCTACGGTCCCGACTCTATTCACAAAGTGTTTGAAAAGGCGTTGGAAGTGACCAGTGGTCGACTGCAACTCATTTTCTTTGTCATAACTCCGAAGTATCAGTACTTATATGAGTCGATCAAAAAGGTCGGAGACGTGGACTTTGGGATTGTCACGCAATGCATCAAAGAGGCCAATCTGAGCAATTTGAAGTATGTATACCATTGCTATGGTTTGACCACTTATTAATCCATTTGTCTCTTAGACCACCACTGATGCAAAATGTGATGTTGAAAGTGAACACAAAGTTGGGCGGAGTTAACGCCATTCTCACTGACATCGAAGTGCTGAAGAAGCGCACAATGATTGTTGGCGTCGACTGCAGTCATCCAGGAGTGGGCGATAGGATGTCTCGCTCGGTGTCTGCATGCGTGGCATCGATTGACGACTCGTACGTGAAGTACTTCGCGTCCACTCGTCTCCAGAAGCGCGTCCAAGAGATCACTAGTGAGCTCCAGGAGATGATGTTGGACCTGCTTCGGGAGTACGCCAACAGAAACAATGGCAATCTTCCCGAACAGATCATTGTGTATAGGGATGGCGTCAGCGAAGGCCAGTTCAACGCCGCTCTTCAACAGGAGATCAAGGGATTGATCCAAACGTTTGCGATGGAAAAGCCTGGCTATGAGCCTAAGATGACTTATATTGTGGTTCAGAAGAGACACCACACGAGGTATTCACTTATTTGTTGGAATGTTTTCAGTTATATAATCATTTGTTTGTGTCTTCAGATTCTTCCCACAGAATCCAGCGGAAGGCGTGGGCCGAGCGAAGAACGTTCCGCCGGGTCTAGTGGTGGACACGGATGTGGTGTCGAAGACACACTTCGATTACTTCCTGTGCTCTCACGAAGGCATTCAGGGAACCAGTCGTCCGACTCATTACTTCATTCTCTGGGACGACAACAAGTTCTCTGCGGATGAGTTGCAACAGTTGACGTTCAGTCTGA